TTTTTGTTTTTACTCTTTCAAAAGAATAACAGCAAGATTTGAGGATGCCTAACTGCTCTAAAACTTCTTTAACCAACAGTGTCTGTGTCTCCTTAGCCAATGTGAAGATATAAACCTATTCTTTGAAGGTTTTTACCTCCATACGGTGAAATAAATGCTTAAACTGGAACCGTTGTATTTTCCTGTCAGAAGTCAGCATAAAAATTTGTTTCCTCTAAAAATACCTGTAATAGGTTGGAGAGATGTAGGAAATAAAGGTGATTTTTAATGATGCTCCTTTCAAGTCATCTGTGCTGTGGTGCCTGTTGCTTCTCTTGGTAGTACATAAGAAAAAAGGTAAATGTTGAGGTAGCAAAGGGCAAGAAAATGATGTTCCAAACCCAGTGATCCTGCTAGGGCTGGGAGGAAGAATGTATTTAACAGAATGCAAGCTCAGAAATCTGATCATCACTGTTCTTTCGTTAACTGCACAGCCTTTATTTCCTGTGACAAGCAGCTCTTCTCTTTCATGTGGACACTTAATTATATTTAGGGGAGTTACTGCTGAAACCGTGGCATGACTTTTAATCATCGTGACTAGGGATTGCTGTGTTTTGGAAAATGTGTGAGGGAACTGAAGATGACATAATTCACAGTTTTCATTAGAGTAGCTGAAATAATTTTAAATACTCTTTTCTACCTTGCTGAAATCACAGACTTCAATTTCTGCTTTAGTCTTTAAGAAACAGCTTTTATTATTGGGGATAAAAGTATGAACATCAGCAGCACGTGGTGTTCAAGGGCTTTTTGAAAGGTAGTGATTTGGGGCAAGAGTTGAATGGAGTTCCATGAAGAACTCCCTTTTGAATGAGTTAAGCCTGTGGTTTCTAATGTAAATGCAGTTTGTTGTGAGGTTGCACAGAAGTTATAACTGACCTATATTTTATTTCATCACTTTCTCCCTTAAAATTCCATCTTGGAATGTTCTACTTTGCTCAGTCAATAACATTTGCAAATGTACCATTCTCTGATGCTAGAATTACAATGGAATGTTTGGACTAAAGTCATAATTGTGTATTTATCCTTTTGGGATGTCCTTAGAGGACCAGGCAGTGCCAAGAGCTTAAAAAGACTTTAAAAGATTACTTCAACCTTATTTCCATGCTGTGTGCTTCATGCATCTGGCTTAGAGGGAACACGCAGTACAAAGTCTAGAATTAGTTTTCATTTACTTTGAATTGTTCTTCTGCCCATAAGCCTTGTTGTTTGGCACCAGCTTTGATTCACAGACACTGTAGATGGGTGTTGTTTTTCTTCTATTTCTTGAAACAGCAAAGGATACACAGTCAGTAGCAAAAGTTTTTGTGGCAAATCTTCTTAGTTATTGAACCTTTAAAAAGGAGAACAAATACACACACACACAAAAAAAAGAGTAAATTAGTTTCTTGTACAGATAGTATTTGAACTGCCTACAGAGGATGTGTCTGAGGCCAGTGTGCCTCAGGCTTATGGAGGTGCAAGAAAACTTCCAATAATTGTGAAGTACTGAGAGTGGTTCACATGTTGGTCCCAAGATAGTGTTCACTGTCCTGGAATTTGGAGGGAAATGGGAAAGTTGTCATATTTCACCCTCCTCAGGAGGATCAGTTTATTTCAGACTACACAGGCTGAAGTTAATGAAGTGCAGCCTCACATCATATATGTGAAAACCAGGATCCAAGTGTCTGTAGAATGAAGTCCTGGAAGTAAGGTCAGTGTCCATCCACAGAGGGGAAATGCAGAAGTACCATCTGCTTCAGGGGCAAGAAGAGTCAGAGAAGGAGGGTCTCTGTCAGATGACTGGAGCTTTTTGGAGAGGTTCTCCTTTTCCTCTCTGGGCAGAATGGATAAGACAAAGCATTAAACGAGGCCTATTAATGATACGTTGAAATATTTTTAGTACCTGATATGATAGAACTTCTAATTAATAGTCTGGAAGACCCATACTTAGCTTCATTTGGAGTTGCCAGGTTGAGAAGTAAAACACCCACCTTCTTACACGTACCCAATGTATAGACTGGCTTCGTTCAGTAACACTTTGGTGCCTTTTGTTAGGGAGCAGGTAACTTACCTGAGCTGATACTGATGAAACAGAATTGCAACATGAGACAAGGAAAAGGATATATGAGATGGAGAAAAATGCAGAGATAAAAGACTATGTTACTACTTTATTTTTTCATCAACAAGTAGACAAAGAACTCATGAAAACTAGGATAGAGAAGGGGACTGGATTTTAGATGTCCCTTGATTAGTTTCAGGTCTGTTCCAGGGACTGTTATATTTAGTTATGTTGGCATTTACATGGCCTTATGTAGGCTTTGAAGTTATCAGCTCACACCTTATTAACAAGAGCTGAGGAAGACAAGGGTGGCTTGGACTTTTGTTGTCACCTTTGTTTATCTGGAGGCTGTTTTCTGCATGCCAGGGTTAACAGCTCAATAAGCCACCATCACTGCTCTTCCACAAGTCTTAGTATCTAATGTTGCACTTCTCAAAGGAGGCATCTAAAAGCAAGACATTTGGAGGGAAAAAGACAAGTCTGCTTTTGTGGTTTAACGTGCTCAAATCTCCCTTCAAAGTTTAAGCTGGACTTAAACTGCTTAAATTTCTGATGCTTTCTCAAGTTTCTGATCCTGAAGTTATTTGCCACTGCTGAGTAGCTCTTAATACAGTGACTATAATCTACACAGATTGGGCATAAGATATTGTGCAGGTGTTTGGATGGTTGTTTTTTTGGGCTTTTTTTTTGGTGTGTGTGTTAGAAATCTTTATTTTTCCTTTTTATATAGGTAGATACAATCCTGGAATAGGCTTCAGAGACCTTTTCAGGGAAAGTATTTCTGAGGTGCACAGAAAAGGATGAATAAAAATTTCTGGTACTAATTCACTTGCGTGGTCTTACCTCTATTGGGTCACACAGGAGATGATGTAGGGCTTGTGCATGAGTCAGGATGCTGCTGACACTGCAGCCTGAGTCTTTCTTCAGTCTAAACTTCACAGCAGAAAATGGCAAAGTTGTTTGCTGTGAACATGACTTGCTAATGCCTGTGAAATGTCTCCATTGTTTTATCTCCCCTGGCATTTTACCTCTAATTGGCAAACTTGGTCCCATCACATCCTGTACCTCAGAGCAGGAAAAGTGCTGCAGCGGTCCCCAGCTGGAAACAGTTCCAGAAGGGACCTATTCATGGATGTTCCCTGAGGTAACCCCTTGTTTTAGGTACAAATGCCTACAAAAGTTTGGCTTCAGTCTTTGTTAAATGAGGCCAGAAAACAAACAGTACCCAGGGAGGAGGAGGTGTGTCAAACAGTTAATTCAACGTGAAGTTTGAGTTTTGTAATTAATGTATGTTAAGTTTAGATTTTGTCACCTGATTCAGAGCAAAATGGAAACATTTCATGGTACATTTGGTATGTTAGAATCCTTAAATTGTTCTTTTTACATTTGTAATTCAGTCTTATTTTCTAAGTAACACAAACAAAAATGTCCCCTTTAAACTTTGGGGTTATGGTTAACGGAGACTAACTTGTAAACAGTGTGCATGTCATTTTTCTTTCTTTTTTCCTTCTCACTAAGAGAATAATTTAGTATTACATTAAAATTCTTTCTGTACACTGAAACAGAGCTGTTGCTGACTATTAGGTATCAGATTCTGCTTCACAGAGGAAGTAAAATATGAGGAAAGACTGAATTAGATTCACCAGAGAGGCTGGTTCAGTGGAACTGGACAACTAAGATGGGGGAGGAACATAAAACATAAAACCCAAAGCTTTTAAGGAGACCTTACCAGTTTTGATCAATATTAATAAGCTGGCTGTCCAATCATGCACTAATATAACTTTCAGAATGTGTTCTTGAAAAGTCATCTTCAGGCCTTGACTTATTCCTTAACGAGGTTTGAATTTTTAAGGCCTTTGAGCCTTTAGTTTTTATAGGAACTACTCTAATCCTCTTAAAGCAAAGTATTTGTTCAGAAAAAAAACCCACAACCTTAAGCACAGTTAATAGATAGCTTCAGGTTGGTTTGTATTTCTAGAGTAATTTAAAAAAAAAAATAGTAAATTAACATCTACATTAAGTTCACAGAGAGGTCAGAAGTAATTCAGTTGCTGATCACTATGCTCTGTTTAGTGTCCATACGATCCAGTCACAAGAAGGGTCATGGGATTTAATTTTCATGCCTGTTGTTAAGGTCTACTTGTTTAGATAATTGGAGCCACTGGACTGGTTTGTCTTTGAGCTGGAAAGAAGTCCCTAAAAGTAGGACATCATGTCATTAGTAGAAAAGAAATGCAGCCTAGGAAAAAAATTACAGAAAAAAAAGAGGAGAATTTTGTCATTGCATCAAGCATGTAAATAAACTGTTTGTGTGCTTGTTTTTTAATCTTTGGTGTATTGGGATTTCATACTGGATTTTAGTTGTCTTCTCATGCACACCTTAATCACAGCGGGTTTGTTAATATTCATTGAAGGGAGGAGTTTGTAAGAATGCTGATGCTAGTTGAGGGAGGTACAGATAGATGATAACTAACTACGTGTAACCAAAAAATGGCTCATTTTTGAGGTCATTGCAGGAAAATGCCTGCTAGGAGGCCTTTTTTATAATAATACCTTGAATATGAGGTAAGGCTTCAGGTTTTTTGTCTTCTTTTCCTGCCTTGAAGGTCTTTTCCAACCGAAATGAATCTACCTATGAATCTGTGAATCTTTTACAGACTTCACAAATTTTGGCTTGACCAAAAATGGTTAGGCATCTATTCAGTTTTTGACTGTGTTTCAGGATTCAGCCTGCACCAAAGGGGACCACAGGTCAACACACCTCAGCGCTGTCTTCATGGCATAAAATGGAGGGACTGTGTACACATCACCACATGAGTTGTATAAATCTGTCACAACTAGAATCCACACTTTTCTTCAGTAAATCTACATAAAAGAAACATTTATTGTTCTTTTAGTAACAGAAACGGTTGTTCTCTTACAGTTTGCTGGGACCTTGTCAGATGGTTTGGGAAAGACCATGGACAACAGACATCAGACGGAGCGAGAATACATTCGGTACCACGCTGCAACTAGTGGGGAACATCTGGTAGCTGGAATCCAAGGACTTGCACATGGTAAGCCTGAGCTGGAATTTTAACTCCCTCCTCGCTTGAAAGTAATAGTCAGATTGAAAAGAACATTTTCTGTTACTCTGGATGATTAATTGAAGTCAGGGAAGTGGAGCTACCATGGATTTTATATTTGAATTTGAACACATGCAGGTCAGGGTGTAGGGATTGTTTGGTTTTTAGGTTGACAGAAACTACATTTAAGACTAAGGTCTTTTCACACGTAGCTCTGAGTAAAAGCTTTTTTGCCAATTAAAATGAAATTTCAAAGAAAATTTACCCCAAACATCTATTTCGTTGTAGAGGCATAAAATCCCCAATCCAGACAGTCTTTTTGAGAGCCTGACATGCAAGTAAAAGAGCATGTCTGGGTGGTAGCTTTCCTGTGTTTGCTTTCAGTTCCAGAGTCCTGAGTTTCCTCACAATCAGTGCATCAGTTTAAAGTAGCATTTCACCAGTTGGGTTATTTTGTGGTTTTGGTTTAGTTTTCTTAAGTCTACTAAGAACTAGAGAAATTAATTTATGTAAAAGAGAGTGGTCTAATCTTAATTTGGCCAGAATCTCACATCAATTTAGTTCATGATTTATCTGGTGAAGAAAGTTAAATCAATACAGCCAAGTTTAAACCAAATATTTATATTTTGCATCATCTTGACTCAGTTTGTTTAAATGTCATTCTTTTAGAGCAACTGTTGTAGCCTGTAGAGATAATCTGTTTTTCATGCAGACTACAATCTTTTTCTATGCCGAACAAAAGTCTTTAGCTGGACTTTTGTTATAAAGAGGCACTGAGGTATTTAAATGGAGTGTGAGAGAAATTTCTCTCTCACTGGTGTGCTGTGAAGTCTGATACAAATTATATTGGTAGAAATGCAGGACATCTGAAATAGGTCAGTCTTTGCTGAAAAGTCTGTTATAAAAGCACTTTACTGTGTTGTATTCTCCAGTAATTAAACTGTTTTAAAATAACAGCCACTTTTTATTTTCTGTCTCAAATTGTATAAGGTTTTGTGGCAATAGGATTCTGTCACACTGTAAGTAACCACCTCAGGAACAGACGAGGTCTAGTTCTGTAAATACAGCTGGGAAATAGAACCATATAGAAATATTTTAAGGTATACATATTTAATAATTCAATATTTTTCTGTGGGATGTGATTGTGCATATCCCTGTGTGTACTACATATACAAAGTCACTCACTAATGTAGTCAGTTGTGAAAGGGGTTCAGTGTTACGTTAAATTCATGGCATGGTTCTGCCCGGCTCGCCAGTAAATCCCGTGGGCAGCAGCAGGGGTCTGTCAGTGTGGGGGGCAGTCCTGGCCTACTGTGCTGTTCTTCTCTTTGCCAGGTATCATTGGAGGACTGACAAGTGTAATAACTTCAACAGTCGAGGGTGTGAAGACCGAGGGAGGTGTCAGTGGTTTCATATCTGGCCTTGGGAAGGGGCTGGTTGGCACCGTAACCAAACCCGTGGCCGGAGCTCTGGATTTCGCGTCGGAAACGGCGCAGGCGGTGAGGGACACGGCAACGCTGAGCGGCCCCAGGTCAGTGAGCAAACACTGGCAAAATGTGTATTGGTAGCTGCTGCCATTTCGGATCTGATTCTTACCTCACCCAAAGGAACAGTCATTTAATCAAATTTACTCTGAGCTGTTATTAGTGCGTAACCCATTTCAGCTTTCTGTTGCTTTAAAAATGGCATTTTTTGATACTATAACAAGACTCGAATTTGCACAGAAAAACTGCAACATGAAAGAGGAATTAGTAAAATACAGATCAGATTTAGATTAAGGCAAAATTTTTAAAAGGCTGTATGTAATGAGATTAAAGTTAGACCATGGAATCCTTACACAGAGCTGAAATGGAAGAGTTGTTCTTCCTGCTCCACTTCCAGGTTCCATTGAGCCGTGTAGAAAAAAAGCTCTTCAAAGGTCTGTAGAGTTCTGGCACCATTATAGTGTCATTATCTTCAAATTTTCATTTTGTACGTTAGTTCTCACAAAAAGTGTTGCTATTTGCTCTTGTGTCCACATGCTTATCTGTTCACCCAGACGTGTGGATGTTAAGTGTCAGCACATCAGGACAGATGCTTTGGCTTCCTTCCTGTGTTCAGTTACTAGCACAATGTGGTCTCTACAAAATAACAATGCTTGTTTTAAGTAAAGGAATGTTCATTAGCACTGACTGTGAATATGGAAGAGGGAAAGGGCTAAGTTCTAAAAAGGCTGCCCTGAGAGAAGATTCCTTTTGTGGCCAAGAGTTACTTTATATGACAGGACTATGCCAAGAAGCCCTGCTGTATGTAAGTGAGATCCAGCGTGCTGAGGAAGTGAAAGAAAACCCTAAGTACGTTGTATTGTTAGAAAGCTTAGAGAAAAATTTTTGCAAAATGTTGGGTTTTCTGGTTGTTTGTGTTCCCCATTTGGCTTTTCCATTTCCTGTGTTTTATTATGCCTTGGACTCCTGAACCATCTACCAATAAGAACAATAGACTTGACAAAGTGTGAGTGAGGTGCAGGACACTGTGCAGAATTAATGTAGGTGTACTTTGTTGTGAAAATGGAAGTGTTTACATGTCTCTATCTTTTGTATTTGGTACTCAGTTTGATTTGTAAAACTGAGAGATCAAGGATTACAAGTTGGTAAATACGTACACAGACACAAAATTGCAAGAGAACTCTACGTGCATCCCTGAGAAAACACATCTGCTGTTTGGTGTCTACCTGTCTTAATTTTGTGACTGTACATGTTGCTTGGTCGATTTAAAGGTGGGGAGGAAGACACCTGGCTCTACTGTCTGTTGTCTTACAGGTTGAGCTATGGTTTTATCATGGTTTGTTTCAAGATACACTTAAAATGCACATTTTGGCACACTGCTGTGAGATGCAGCCTGTACACAGGTGCGATGATGTTAGCAAGGGGGAAGGCAAGGGCTGCAGCCAACCTTCTCCCTAGCTCCTGTTTGCCTGTGTGACATATTTCCCTTTAACTTAACTGTCACTTAAGAGCTGAGCCTAAGACAGATGAGCTGAACCACATTTTTGCTTCCACTAGATTCTGAAATACATTGACATAGACAAGCACTGTGAAATTGTTGTAGCATCTATGCACACTTGCAAAAAGTTTCTTACCCAGCAACCTACTACAGGGGGAAAAAACAACAAAAACAAACCACCACCACCAACAACAAAAAACCCTTTCTCAATCACAACACTCCTGTAGTCTACAAAATCTGATCAGAATGGTTTTTTAGATAAATAAATGCACTTGAGACTGTGTAAACAATATACAAAGGGGAAAAAAAAAAAAACAAAACAAAAACACAACAAACCCCACACCACTACCTATAGCAACCTTGCACTCGTGTTTTGTTTGGTAAGGGGTTTTTTAATGTGTTTACATAATGAAGTAACTAAATTATTCTTTCAGGGTATAAAAAACAACAAAAGACAACAAAGGATTTGTACATTTTTTAGACTGCTGTGTACCAATATCCCCCTGCTGCATTTGTTAACTGTTCAAGTATGTGTGGTTTGGAATCCAAATGGAGCAGTGTTCCAAACCCAAGCTGCTGGCTCCAGCTGAATGTTCTGTTGAAGCATGCTGGGCCATGTGTCGACTCTTCCAGGCTAAGTACAAAAACAGCAAACCCTGATGAATACGAGTTTATGGCAGTAACTGATCTCAAGTGTGGTTTCAAACAGTTGAAGAATGTGATAAGAGCTGTCTTGACCTTATCTTCAGACTGACAGCATATGTGCGAGTTTCCGGTACTGGTGCAAAGTGGAGTCAACCAGTTAATTACAGTTGCATTTAAATAGCGTGCTACGTAACCATAAATTATAGGCCCATTGCAATTCTCTAATTACAAGGTTGACTTTTGAAAAGGCCCTGGATTGAAGCTGCTCGACTTTAACCATTGGATCAGTTTTGAGTGAGATGAAGTATTTTAATTGAGGGTGTAGTTTTTCCTAAAAGGCACGTTCTAATTCCAGCAAAGTTACTGAACAGAGCTGTGGAGGACTCTGTGCTGCTGCGATCGTGCTGCATGGCCAGAAGTCTCTTTTGGCTCCAGAATGTGTTGAGCTGTGCTGGGACTCGTGCAGCTGGCACAGGCCACGTGCTGGGAGCGTGGAGCCAGGCGTGCGGCTGAGGTGCGGGCGATGGCTGTGCAGCTCAGAGTGGGACTTTAGGAGGTGATGTGCTTAAAGGGCAAGAAAATATTTTTTAAATCTGACTTTAGACTGGACTTTTTCAAGGCTAATCTTGTAACTTGTTATGTAACCATATAATTTATTATGCTTGCTCTTTATTAATAAAACTGCCTTAATACTTTTAATTTTAATGCAGGGGAGAGCATAAAACAGTTGTTGACAATGCAGCATGCATCTAATTTATAAACAGTTAATGCCTGTGACTTGATACCTTTTTTTGAGTAGGTTTTGTGTGTTCCAGCTACTCGAGTGTCACATACAAGAGTTCTGATTATTTCCATATTTGTCATATACTGCCAAAAGTCTTAAAGGCAAGTTCAAAACAGGAAAGCTGTTATGTCTCTAGATATGCTTGGAAAGCTCTCTCCTAGAAACGTGTTTTAAGTCCTAGTGCAGCACAAGTAAAGAACATTTATATTTAGATGTGAGTCTGACTTAAGTAGTGCAGGAAACTGCCACTATGGCTTTCTCGCAGGCTTCTGCCAGGTCAGTGCAAGTTCAAGATTTCTCTTGAACTGGTGCTGCAGGGGTTTGTGTTCTTTTCTGGTAGTCACAATGTGGAACTTGGAAGTAAGAGAGAACTTCATGACCTACCCAATTTTAATGAATTCTGTCAGGGAGCTACGCTGGGTTAGTAAGAAAAGTTTGCGATTGGCAAACCATTAATGGTCACAGAAAATTCTTAGGTAAATATTTGATTCTTCTCAATGTACTTCACCTGGAAGCAGCAGTCTGCACTAGTTGTTCGTTTGTTCACCACTTCTTTGCCGTCGCTCAGAAATGTGCAATGAGCTTGCAGAGTTTGAGACAATGTCAACAGCAGGTGATTTTTGGTGTGTCCATCCTCTTAGCCATGTTTTCAATGATAAGGTCAGTCACGAGGTGTAGACTTGAGAGCCACAAGTACTGGGGACACTGAGAAGAAGCAAAAGAAAATATGTACCTAATTGTCTGGAACACGAACTCAGCTAATGTCCTGCAGAATATATTCTCAAGGTTCTCAAGTTTTAAAGATAAATCTTGCTTGAACCGTAACACCTCTGTATGTGTCCCAAATTCTGTCCTGACCTTGGGCTTGATTTAGGTCTGACTTCAAGAGTCTTTACAGTAATGTCAGTCATGTATGGGCCACAACTGTGATGAACAAGACGTCTGTCTTCTCCTGATAAGCCCTTCATAAGATTTTGCTAGAAGCCAGATAGAAAATACATTTATCATCTAGTGTAAATTTAAAATTTATCATCTTGCGTAAATCTGGAAACAGATTTTCCACACAGGACAGTTCAGCTGATTTATCCATCTGATCTCTAAATTACTTGAGCACTGTGATTTCCTTCATATCCTTTTTTATCCCAGTGGGATAAGAGGTCTTTATAACATTCTGTTTGCTTTTGAGCACGCTAGTCCACTGTGCTCTGCAGCACCCTGTTTAATGGCTGCAGACATTGGCTGTTCTCACTGTTGGCCTTACCTCCCATCTTCAGTCACTGCTGAACTTGGCTGTGTGGGTTTACATTCTTCTGCCATTAGTCTGTCCAGATTCTTCCACTGCTGCTGTTGAGTTGCTTTGAAATCCCCCCAGGCTCTAAGTTCCCATCAGGACTGTGTGAAGAGGGACCGTAGTGTCCCTGTCCTGTGACAAGCTGTGCTCCACAAGTCATCCAGAATTGCATTGGCTGGTTTTACTGCCATATCACATTGCAAACTGATATCCAGTCTTCTGCTTGCTGTTTTCCCCCAAGAGTTTTCTTTTATTTTTTATTTTACTGCTTTGCAAAGATCTCCTCAGCATTCAGTATATGTGTTCTGGATTACTTTTCCCCAGATGAACAAGGTTGCAATTTTGTAGATTGAATCCCATTTAATTTCCTTGCCATACTTCTGACCTCTTCAGGTTCTTTAGTACTTCACTGTCCTCACTAGAATTTTAAACACTTATTAGTTTGTACTCTCCAAATATAATTTTACATGCTGCTTTTACTAGATCTTTGAAGTTAAGCAAGCCTGGCACCTCAGCAGACACTTTTCCCTGCTTTAATCATTTTCCCCTGCTTCAATGATTTTCTGTTGCCAGTCTCACCTGCTCAGTATTCTTCCATTACATTTTAAGTTATCACTGTAACTTTGTGTAGTTTTGTTGGAGATGCTGTTCTCTCTGGATGGCTGCTCTGGCCTGTTGTAAGTAGATATTCTTGTGGGGGGAGCAGTTCTTCTAACTGCAACCCTGTACCTCTTCCATGTGGATAATTTCATCCCAAAACTGTAGCTTTTTTTCTGAAAATGCACCTCAGCTATTTTAGTTTCTTAAGTAGGAAGAGACACAAATCCAC